CATTTCTATCCATGTCTCTGTCTCCTGCCGGCCCGTCATGTGTCTCCCTGCCTGGGACCAGCCACTGCTCAGGGACTGGCAGCCATCTCTGACTGGGACTGGCTCTACCCAGGCCCTGCTCCCTGCTGCCACATGACCTGCTCCCACCATTTGGGGACCTACAGCATTTCTGCTCCCTATTGCTGCTGGGGATCCTGTAGCATTTTTAATTTTTCCATTACACATACTGTTTTATATTTTTTTTTCTCAGAAATAGCACACAATCCTTTGCTTCACTGTTTGACATTTGTTTTTTTTTTACCTTATTTTAGTATAAAGGGTCGTTGTCTTAAAATGTTTATAATGTGATACTAAACTTTTTGTTAAAATGTTTCTGATGTTTACTTAGAGTTGAAAGACTATATGCATTTCTAAGCCCCCTCAACCCTAAGACATTTTCCTAAAACCTTACACTCACTCTTGGAAATGGTACATCACCCCCACACACACTTGCTGAACTGCTTATCTTCCTATGTCCTTGTGAATAATCTTCAAACGTAACTCCATTCTGGGAATTGAGGCAAAGACAACCCACAGATGTTGACTCAGTTCCTGACATGTTGATTTAGCCACTAGAACAAGGTCAGGAAGACCACAGAGATGTTCTTCCTTATCACCTGATGAGGCAGCTATTCTCCTGCCCTGGAATAGACCAATCATTGCTAGTAACCCTTTGAATAAGCCAAACCAATAAGTTGGAAAACAGCCTACAGTTCCCCCCGCCCCTTGTGTCTGTGGCTTTTTGCTTTAAAAGATGGACCGTAACAGCTATCAGATGTCCTTCATATCCCGAACTTGAAGGGCCCTGTCATGACAGCATAAAAATCCTCTTGCTTTTATATCAATTGAGGCTTTGTGAGTGGTGTCTGAAGCAACTACTCCCTGATGATTGGACTTCTAGTCCAACATTTTGGTGCATTGGCCAGGAATTGAGTTGCTTCTGGACTCATTCCAGGCCCAGTTGGAGGTAACATCGAGCACTCTTATTGTCTTTGTCTGTCTGCTTTGTTTTTGTGATTATTGTAGTCTGTGTTTGTTGTTATTTTGAGTCTGTAGTGCTGCAGAGCTTCTGAAATTGTACCTATGTAGGGCCAGTATCTGTACTGGAGGACACTCCAGTAATCTGTAAATCTGGAGGACACTCCAGTATCTGAAGGGGCTAAGAGTGACCAGGTCACTCCTCTAGTTCCCAAGAGGCAGGGCTTTTTGTCACTCACCTTCTCTGAATCTGTAGTGCTGCGCAGTTTCTGATTTTGATTTTGGTTTGGCTTTTTGTGTCTTTGTTTTTATGTCGTGTCTTTGTTTTTGTATATCTGTTTGTACTCAAGTCTAAATCTGTTACCATGGGGCAGTAAGTAACCACCTCTCTGACCCTAACTCTGACTTTAGAGAAAAGCTCTAGACCAAGCTGTCGAAACCCGAAAGAAATACTGGCAAGTGGTCTGCTTCCTGGAATGGCCCACTTTTGGGGGGGGGGGGGGATTTTTCAAGACAGGGTTTCTCTGTAGCTTTTGGTTCCTGTCCTGGAACTAGCTCTTGTAGACCAGGCTGGCCTTGAACTCATAGAGATCCCCCTGCCTCTGCCTCCCGAGTGCTGGGATTAAAGGCATGCGCCACCACTGCCCAGCAGGAATGACTCACTTTTGATGTGGGCTGGCCACAGGGTGGGACATTCAATCTAGATACTATTTTGCAGATAAAAGAAAAAGTCTTCCAACCTGACCCTTATGGCCACCCGGACCAGGTTCCCTATATTGTCACATGCAGAGCTTGTCCAGAGAAACCCCCTACTCTGGGTCAAACCATTTCATTACAGAGCACAGTGCAGGCACCAAGGCCGGTCTGCCCCTCCCCCGTCTCTTTTCCCTGCAGGAGGCACACATGCCAGCAGGGTCCAAGCTGGTGCTAATTCCTCCGCGCAGGACCCAGTAAGCCTGGGGGCTGTTTCTCTGGGGTTAGATACCCTATTAGAAAGCAAAAGTCCTGTAAAGAGCCTGGACCTTTTCACTTGGGCAGCAGATAGAGAGATTGCAAATAAGTATCCCTGTGGCTTTTGGTAAACCATGAATGTGGACTCAGGAGCAACAGGTAGTATGGCAAGCCAACATCAGAAGGTCCTCCCAGCCCTGTGGCATTTCTCTTCTAGGGATGCTCTGTTCTGGTCATCACGTGCTGTGTCCAGGGTAAAGCTTCTGGTTTAAAAATTGGGGAAAGTTAATCTAAGTCACTTTAAAAAATGTGCTTATAAAAAACTACAGATTGTTGGTTTCTATATTTCTTACTAAACAGTGTGTACAGAAAAAAAGTAAATTCCCAGCTCTGATTAGATGGATACAGGACTACACTGTCTTCAAGAACTATTGCTGGGGGGCTGGAGAGATGGCTCAGAGGTTAAGAGCACTGCCTACTCTTCCAAAGGTCCTGAGTTCAATTCCCAGCAACCACATGGTGGCTCACAACCATCTGTAATGAGGTCTGGTGCCCTCTTCTGGCCTGCAGGCATACACGCAAAACAGAATATTGTATACATAATAAATAAATAAATAAACATTAAAAAAAAAAAGAACTATTGCTGTAAAAGCCCTGGCCCCAGGCCAGGGCCATGTAACCCAAGCTCAGGGCCCAGCTGAGCTTCTAAGCCACCCATGTGCCCATGTTCAGATCTGAATTTAACATTTGACTGCTCGCAATACTTCTGATGAGGTGCGGACCCTGAGTTGCCCCACATGGCGACAATTCTCATTTATTATTGATATAAAAAAGGTACATTTTGGGTTGTTTTCAGATTCTGCCTATGAGAAAATAATTCTGCTATGTAAAATAGGCCCAAAATTGCTGAGTTTTGAGGTAATATGTTACCTAATTCTGAAAATTCGTCATACTAATGTTCAAAGTAGCTGTATCAGTTTGCATTTTTACCAAAAATGGAGGATTTTTATTCCACATTCTTTTAAGCATAAATTGTCAAACAATATTTTTAATCTTGGTCATTTTTACAGGGATAAGATAAAATCTCAGAATTGTTTGATTTGCATTTCCCCAATGAATAAGGATGTTATATTTAAGCAAATTTTAAATATCTTTCAGTCATTTTAAGATCATCTATTGAGAATTTACAGTTTAGGTCTGTAACATAATTTTATTGAATTATTTGTTCTTATTAGGACTAAGTTTTTAAGTTCCTTATATGTTTTAAAAATAATTGATAAAGATACCTTCCCATTCTACAGGTTGATATTATGTTCTGTTGATTATATCCTTTGCTACACAAAAAGCTTCTTAATTCTGGAGATCTCATTTATTGGTTGTTTCTCTCAATGTCTATGCCACTGAGGCTGTGTTTGAAAATGTATTTAAAACTTTTTTCTTCTATGAGGTTCAGTATCGTTGGTTTTATGTTAAGGTCTTTGATTTGTTTGGGTTTCAGTTTTGTGCATAGAGATAAATATGGATCTATTTTCATTCTTCTATGTCTAATTAATTCTTAAAGGGAGAAACTGACAGTCAAAATGCCGGGCTCATGGCAAATCTCAGGGGCAAGGCACCCCACTAATTTGGCCAAGGTAAAACAGGTTCTTCAGGGGCAAGTTAAAATCTGTGTTTCTTAAATGTTCACTGGAGGTTTACAGGCATTTTACCCAGCCACTAAAGGTCAGCAGGCAGTGGTAGCCATGACCTTCATAGGAAAGTCAGCATCAGATATAAGGAGAAAGTTACAGCAAGTAGATAGGTTGCAAGATTATAGCTTGCAGAATTTGGGGAGAAAGAGAAAATGTTAAATGAGAGACAGAGAAAATGAAGCGAAAGAGAGAGGGGCCGGAAGCGAAAGAAAGAGAAAGGCGGGAGGCAGACAAAAGTAAAAAAAAAACAGAGGGATCATAAACAAGAAAGAAATTTGACTAGGAAAAAAAAGACAGGACTCAGACAGATAGGAAGCCTGAACAACAGAAGATCAAAGACAAATGAAGATGGACAGAGGCACTCCCTGGAAAAAGGCCAATGTGCTTATGGCAAGAAAAAGGACATTAGATTCCTCTATAGATTTTCTAAGGGACACAGGGACTGACCACTCTGTGCTAAAACAACTGTTGAACAAAATGGACACCTACGAACTATAAAATTGGGACAAGAACAAATAAATGACTCATTCCTCCCTGATCACCCCTAAATGTATTATCAAAGCCTTTTGTTGACCAAACGAGGGACTTTGCTTTCCCTGCTGTTTTCAGATCTGTAGGAGATGCAGGCTGCTTGTCTGCCTCAACCTCCACCACACCCTCCTCACGAGGATGACCACCTCCCCCTGCCACACCACCAGAGAACTCCTTGCCTCCCAGCAACTGCCTTGGTGCCATGCTTGCCCTAAAGCCTGCATGAGCCCTGGCTGCTCACCCTGCAGTCTCACTCCCCTCACACATGTCAGACTGTGATAGAGCACTCCCAATGCTACCACAGGTGCCCTCCTGCACTGGGCTGCTGCTCCTGTGCCCTGCTCACACCGATGGACTATGGATCCTACCAGCATCTGCAGAAAGGACATGTGACTGGCAGAATGGCAGACTGAGCTGTGCCAGGCAGAGCCGGAAATGATGGCGAAGCTTGCCTGGGGCACAAGGCTGGGGGTCTGAGCCAAGCAGGTATACAAGACTGAAGGTAAGCGGAAGGTGGGGGGCAGCAATGGTGGACAGGAAGCAAATGATCTGGGCCAGTAATCTCCCTGAAGGGACATTGGCCCGACCAGAAAGCAGAACTTGTGGCTTTGATACAAGCTCTACAGATGGTAGAGGGAATGTCTACGCTGACGGCAGGTATGCTTTTGCCACTACCCACATACATGGAGCAATATACAGACAAAGAGGACTGTTGACATCTGCGGAAATTTTTTTGAGCCTCCTCGAGGCCACACAGTTGCCAAAGAAGATAGCCATCATACATTGACCATTACTGGGATCGCCAATGTAATGGCTAAAAAGATCATAAAAGAAATCTTCCCAAGGTTTGGAATGCCCAAGGTCATCATGTCCAATAATAGACCTGCCTTTATTGCCCAGGTAAGTCAGGGCATGGCCAAGACATTGGGGATCAATTGAAAATTGTGCTTACCAACCCCAAAGCTCAGGTCAGATAGATAAGATAAATAAAATTCTAAAAGAAAATTTTTACAAATTAACAAAAATTGGCCCTAGAGACCGGCAAAATGACTGGATAGACCTCCCTCCCTCTGTCCTGTTCTGGGTTCAAAGCACCCCTGGGTGATTTAAACTCACTACTTATGAGATCCTATGTGAGGGCTGCCACTGCTCACTAAGGCAAATGAGGAATATAATCTTGATGCTGTTCTTCCCAGAATGTTATCTGCCCACCTAAAGGCCATCCTGATCATCCAAACCCAGGTGTGGAAGCCTCTTGCTGCTGCCTACCAGCCCAGACACCCAGAGATTTCACATTTGTTGGTGATTCCATATACGTCTGGAGACATCAGTCCCAGAGTCTTAAACCTTTCTGGAAGGGACCCTACACCATGCTCCTTATGACAACCACCACTCTCAAAGTAGAAGATGTTGCAACCTGGATCCACACATCTCACATAAAGCTGACACCTCCACAGGATGACTCAGGACCCTCCAGATAAAAGCTTCAGCACACCCAAATCTAAACTAAGAACTCTTAAAAAAATACCAAGCGAACTCTCCCCAGGACTCTTCCCTACATGCAGACACTATGACTGATATATTTGACTGTGGGGGATGGGATGTAAGCAAACTTGACAAGATGGGGGGAGCTGAACTAGCCCCCTCCTGCAGGGGCCCTAAGCACCACACCAAGCCCTCAGGCCCTGCCATTTCCCAGCTCCCTCCCTAAAAACCCCAAGTAGATTCTTTCCAGTCCCAGGACTGTAGAAAATACCAACTCCTGACGTTCATTCGTGAACAACTCAATATTACCCAAGTTTTAGTACTGACCCACCAATATCAGGCTCTCAAGAGAGACCTCAGAAAATCCCAAGATTGGGATTTGACAAAACAACAGAAGGGAATGAAAGACTCTAAATGCACTTGTAAGCCCCCTCAACCCTAAGACATTTTTCTAAAACCTTACACTCACTCTTGGAAACGGGACAGTCGCACACACACACACACACACACACACACACACACACACACACACGCGCTGGACTGCTTATCTTCCTATATCCTTGTGAATAATCTTCAAACGTAACTCCATTCTGGGAATTGAGGCAAAGACAACCCACAGATGTTGACTCAGTTCCTGATGTGTTGATTTAGTCACTAGAACAAGGTCAGGAAGACCACAGAGATGCTCTCCCTTATCACCCGACCACGCAACTATTCTCCTGCCCTGGAATAGACCAATCACTGCTAGTAACCCTTTGAATAAGCCAATCCAATAAGGTGGAAAACAACCTACAGGTTCCCCCCTTGTGTCTGTGGCTTTTTGCTTTAAAAGATGGACTGTAACAGCTATCAGATGTCCTTCATATCCCGAACTTGAAGGGCCCTATCATGACATAATAAAAATCCTCTTGCTTTAATATCAATTGAGGCTTTGTGAGTGGTGTCTGGAGCAACTACTCCCTGATGATTGGACTTCTAGTCCAACAGAGTATAAATAGAAAAATTAGAAACTGAAAGTTTAAAAATTTAATTGACTATAAATCACAGTATATTAGTTAGGGTTCTCTAGAGTCATAGAATTTATGGACCAAATCTCTTTCCATTCATCTATCTATCTATGTATCTATCTATGTATTTATCCATCCATCCATCATCTATCTATCTATCTATCTATCTATGTATCTATCTATCTATCATCATTCTATCTATGTATCTCTCTATCATCTCTCTATCATCTGTCTCTATCTATTATCTATCATCTATCTATCTATCTATCTATCTATCTATGTATCTATCTATCATCTATCTATCATCTATCTGTGATCATATGGGGATTTTTGGGGGAATAACTTTCAGAGTGCAGTCCAAAAATGGCTGTCAGTGAAAGGAAGGTTCAAGAATCTACCTCAGACCCACAAGACTGGGTGTCTCAGCTGTTTTTTGTATATGCTGGAATCGCAAAGAAGTAGACTTTAATGACAATGAAGGAATACCTGTGCTGACAAGGTGAGGGAATGCAGAGATGTTGAAGACTCCACTACTATACAGGAAATGCACATGTGACAGAGCACTAGGCAGATCCACAGGAGGTGTATACATCCACCCAAACATGGAACAAGCTATTTTGCTGAGCTGCGGAAACACTTCTCTTTTGGAAAAGTCATTGGCATATCTGTCTGTGTTAACTTTGTGAAGCCATGATTCTTCCCAAAACACCTCAGCAGTGTGACTTCTGCAGGGCAATGGTGTGACCTTGCTTCCCCACACCAGTGGGCTTTAGAGTGATAACATTCATTCCTTTTTCTAACAGTCAAATTGACATTTGTCAGTCCCACAAATTTACCCTCTAACAGACCACATAGAAATTTCTATAGAAGGCAGGCATTGAGCAGTAAGACAGCATGCCCCACCTTTGCTAAAAAACAAATCTGGGCATTCCCAAAACTGGTTATCACAAAGAGATTAGAATGGGTGAATCCAGGATTTAGGCAAGTTTATTAACTTTATCTAATGGTTTGGAATGTCAGGTACTTCCCCTTGACTGCTGGCTCTTTCTTTCCTGGGTCAGGTCACCTGTTCAGGAGTACTGCTTTGTCTGGTTCTACCTGCCTGTTTTTGTCATTCTGATATGCCTATTATCATTGTTCTTGCTTGTGGAATATTCCTACTATGTCTGTAAAGACTAGAACCCTCATGGAGACCAGCCCTTACTCTTATTCTTCTTCTCTTCACTACTTCTACTTCTTCCCCTTACTCTCCTTTCTTCTTTTTCCTTCCTCTTAGTCTCTTCCCCTTCCCCTTCTTCACCTTCACCTTCTCCTTCTTCTTTTCTTTTCTTTTCTTTTCTTTTCTTTTCCCTTCTTCACTTCAATTCTTTCCCCTTGCATGAAAAATAAGATGCAGAGGTAATGTACTTAAGTTTAATTTTTACACTCAGATTCTTGCCTGTTGTACACATCCAATTCTAAGCACTCTGGGGGTACTGAGGCTGGCACTCCAGGCTCCCTGGTAGAGAAAAATAATACCCCATTTTTATTCTTCCATTGTCCGTCCAGAAGAAGGTGTGACACAAATTGAAGGTGTGCCTTCTACCTTCAAGGTCTAGATCAAAGTTGAGTGTCATTCATCCTTACTATTTGGATCATTGGCCTGTTGTCCTCCTCCCTTAAGGTACAGATCACAACCGTGCCCTTCAGGTTTTTTTTTTTTTTCGAGACAGGGTTTCTCTGTGGTTTTGGAGCCTATCCTGGAAATAGCTCTTGTAGACCAGGCTGGCCTCGAACTCACAGAGATCCACCTGCCTCTGCCTCCCGATTGCTGGGATTAAAGGCGTGCGCCATCACCGCCCAGTTTGCCCTCCAGTTTTGAATTGTAGTTCATTTCTTATATAATAAAGTTGAAAAGCAAGAACAACTATCATAATCAATCCATTGTCAACATGACATACAATCATACCACCTTATTAATTTCCAAATGAAAATCAATAACCGGGTTGTAATTATGACTAAACTTAACATAATTATGTCAAATACAAATGATTATATATTTAGAATAGTGGCAATGTCCCTTGGAGGATTTATTCTAGTATCTCAAACTTATGATAACCACAAATATTCTCTTAATTGATATTGCAACATATGATAAGGAAATTTAAAGGACATAGAAATATCTTTACAAGGACGGGCGGTGGTGGCGCACGCCTTTAATCCCAGCACTCCGGAGGCAGAGACAGGCGAATCTTTGTGAGTTTGAGGTCAGCCTGGTCTACAAGAGCTAGTTCCAGGACAGGCTCCGAAGCTACAGAGAAACCCTGTCTCAAAAAACCAAAAAAAGAAGAAGAAAAAAAGAAAAAAGAAGCCGGGCGGTTGTGGCGCACGCCTTTAATCCCAGCACTCGGGAGGCAGAGGCAGGCGGATTTCTGTGAGTTCGAGACCAGCCTGGTCTACAAGAGCTAGTTCCAGGACAGGCTCCAAAACCACAGAGAAACCCTGTCTCGAAAAAGCAAAAAAAAAAAAAAGAAAAAAGAAATAAGTTCACAAATGCATTATCAACAAAATACAACAGAAACACTCATTTCAGTTAAAGTTCTCATTGCTGCAATAGTCACATGACATTAGATGGTATTTAGAGCTGCCATATTCTGCTGCCCATTCTGTGTTTCTCTCGACCTCTGCAAGCACTTCACAAGGTCTTGGGTCTTTTCCTAGAGAAATGACCCATGCCTTCATTCCTGATGGGTATGTGATGTTTGTCATACTTATTGTATTATACTGTTTTTGTTTCTCATTTGTCTTAATGGCAAGCCCTGGTATGACAAGGAGATGCCCTAAAATATCTCTTGCATTCTGGACATATCCTGCTTATCTCTATTGTGATAAGACAATCCAATTTCCCCAAGCTAAACTGCATATACCACCCTGCCTAAAGTTGTTATTCTTTCTCTAGTCTGTTGGTTTAAGACCACTTGAAGCCCAAATGTCCTTTTCACAGAGGAAGTTTTCCAGTGTAGTCAACCTGCCAGTTGGTTGGTGGCTGGTCACTCTAGTAATGGTGTCATATATGGGGCTAAGTTTTGGACTGTGCTAATGCATAATATGGCAACTCAGCAAAACTGTAACTAAGTCCTTGATGAGTTCAAGTCTGTGTTCTTGAACCCATGACTATCTCCCACTTTGTCAATGTCGCCGCTTTGGTCATGGGCCCATTGGACACTAACATGAATAACTGGGAAAAGAGGCTGATTGTACATGGAAGAGTCATTCTGTCTCTAAGTTTTGAACTCCTCCTCAGCTGAATGAACATTTTGATCAGCATTTACAAGGAATACAAGGATCTTTATCCCCCTTTCCCCTTCACAGAGATTATTCACATTCTCCTTCCTCAGATGTCTTCTCTCACCAATTTTCTAATCATGC